CCCCTATCCTCATCCTCACCCTCATTTCTTCTATCTCCATCTTCACCCTCACCCTCACTTCCACCATCCCCATCCTCATCCCCATCCCCACTTCCACCACCCCTATCCTCATCCTCACCCTCATTTCTTCCATCTCCATCTTCACCCTCACCCTCACTTCCACCATCCCCATCCTCATCCCCATCTTCACTTCTACCATCCCTATCCCTATCCCTTTCTACACTTTCACATCAAAACTGAATTCCACTTTTCCCATTACCACCATCACTCTCACCATCATCACTCTCACAGTTCTCACCATCACCAACCTCTCTTTCACAATCCCCATTTTCATCACCATCACTCTCCCTACTTCTGGCCCTACTTTTACCAATTCCATCACCCTCACCACTATCACAATCCCTACTCTCCATCACCATTCCACCATCACTATCCGCACTATTACCATTATCTCTTTCACAACAGTCACTCACCATCACCAGGACACCCCAAATGATTAATCACCATCATCCACATTCCCATCACCGTTCTTTTGATGCTCGCAATGCCTATCACCACCACTGTCATCATCAATTCTATCTGCCTCCCCATCATGCACTCACTCTTTGCACTGGGGCACCTGCATGTAACTGAGATGAGTTGTTCCCTTGACGTTGGCATGGAGGGTGAATAATCCCCCCAGGAGGTAATCCCCAGCCAGATGGAAAACAGAACTATCCTGGACCTCCACGGGCATCAGCAGGAGGAGGAGGAGCATCCAGGAGGCAGTGGTCCCCATGGTTCTGTCCTGTTGTTCCTTGCCACCCTCTATACCCAAAGTGGGCCAGGTGCCTCTGGCTGGGACCTGCCCCATCCTCTCTTTATTTGTACAGCCTCTAAGAAGCTCATTTACATAGAGTCACGGAGGAAAGAGAATAAGCGGGTGGGGCCTGGATAAGAAATGGGAACTAGTCTGGGATGGGGAAGCAAGGAATCTCCATGACCTGGAGTCATGGACCTGATTGTGCTAAGGACTAGGGGATCAGTGTCAGGAAGAGATGGGGAATCTAGTCTTGGTTTTGCACACTTTATGTGTGTGTGTGTGTGTGTGTGTGTGTGTGTGTGTGTGTGTGTGTGTGTTTCTGGGAGAGAGGTACAGGAAACAATAGAACAAATTCTGACTGGGATCTACTCTCCTCAGTCTATAGACTGTCAAGGCCTAGAAGAGAGAACGTTAGAGCTGGGAGGGCCCTTAGAACACAGGATGTCAGAGCTGGGAGGGCCCTTAGAACACAGAATGTCACAGCTGGGAGGGCCCTCAGAACACAGGATGTCAGAGCTGGGAGGGCTCTCAGAACACAGGATGTCAGAGCTGGGAGGGCCCTTAGGACACAGGATGTCAGAGCTGGGAGGGCCCTTAGAACACAGGATGTCAGAGCTGGGAGGGCCCTTAGAACACAGGATGTCAGAGCTGGGAGGGCCCTTAGAATAGAGAATGTCAGAGCTGGGAGGGCCCTTAGAACACAGAATGTCAGGGCTGGGAGGGCCCTTAGAACAGAGCATGTCAGAGCTGGGAGGGCTCTTAGAACACAGGATGTCAGAGCTGGGAGGGCCCTCAGAACACAGGATGTCAGAGCTGGGAGGGCCCTTAGGACACAGGATGTTAGAGCTGGGAGGGCCCTTAGAACACAGGATGTCAGAGCTAGGAGGGCCCTCAGAACACAGGATGTCAGAGCTTAGAATGTCAGGACTTAGAGGACCCTTAGAACAGAAGAAGTCATAGCTAGCCAGGGTCTTAGAGATCATTTAGCCCAATCTCCTCTTTGACAGAAGAAGAAACTGAAGCTCAGGGATGGCAAGTGATTTTCTCAATGTCTCCAGACACAGCCTACTTGTCTTGGGGAAGAACATCCTCACTGTGAACAGAGCTGTACACCTTCAGATTCTAAGTCGTCCCTGAATGAGCCCCAGTTACAAAAGAAATCAGTTTGGAAATGGCCAAAGGAGAGATATTAACTGCTCTTTTCCTCCTGCCTATTAGAGTGTAAAGTTCCATGAAAAGGGACACAGACATTGATCCAACCGTTCTGGAGAACAATTTGGAACTATGCCCAAAGAGCTATAAAACTGCATCCCCTTTGATCCAGCAATAGCACTTTGAGGTCTAATCCCAAAGAGATCATAAAAAAGGGAAAAGGATCTATTTGTGCAAAAATATTTATATCAACTCTTTTTGTGGTAGCAAAAAATTGAAACTGAGGGAATACCTAGCAATTGGGGAACAGCTGAACAAGTTGTGGTAAATGACTGTAATGGAATACTACTATGCTATAAGAAATGATGAGCAGGTGGATTTCAGAAAAACCTGGAAAGACTTACACGAACTGATTCAGGGCGAAATGAGCAGAACCAGGAGAACACTGTACACAGTAACAGCAACATTGTTTGATGAAGAATCGTGAATGACTTAGCTATTCTCACCAATACAATGATCCAAGACAATCCCAAAGGACTATTGATGAAGCACACTATCTACCTCCAGAGAAAGAACTGATATTGACTGAACACAGACTGAAGTGTGCTATCTTCACTTTCTTTCATTTTTTTTCTTTTATTCAAGTCTTCTTGTTCAAAATGACTAAAATGGAAACACTTTACATAATTGCACATGTATAACCTGTATCTGATGGCTTACTGTATGGGAGGAAGGGGAAAGAGGGATAGAATTTAGAACTTAAAACTTTAAATAAAAATGTTTTAAATCAGGAAAAAAAGAAAGAAAAGGGACACAGGGCCCATGTGTTAAATATCTGTACAACCCCAGCACCTAGTAGAAGTCTTTCTGGAAACCTAAGAAGTGTTTGTCACTGGAAATGGAATCTCTGAGTTGGACAACCTACGATACCCGCATTTCAAAACGCCTGCTTGATTGTCTTCAAACCCCGATCATCTTAATCCAGCCCCGCATGACTTCTTCTCCAACCTCAAAAAGCCAGAGGAAGAATCTGAGGCCGGGGAAGGGAGGAGGGTAGGGTTTGAGGTTGGGCAGTCACTTTGCTAACAGATGATTGCACTCTCTGTCTCACCGATCACATGACATTAGGTGTCATAATTATCCTTTGGGGTTGGGGTGGGGCTGGGACCTGATGCCCCAATTAGAATGAAAGCTCCCTGAGGGCAAGAACCACAGGATCATAAACCTGGAGCTGGCTGAGACCTTGGAGGTCACCGGTCGCACTCCCTTCATTGCACAGAATCAGGCAACACACCTTAAGGTCACTTAGCTAGTAAGTGGCCTCTCAGGGATCTTTCAACCCTGCATCTGTGATCCTAAATTGCAAACCAGAAGTCAAACTCAGCCCTTTAGGGAGCTACCATCAATTCTAAAAGAAGGGAGCCTTGGAAAAACCCGACTTCCTCCTTGTAATGAACAAGACCAGCCACAAGATGGCGCCATTAACTCCAGCCGGGGCACAATGGCCCAGCACAGACTCATAGTAGTCACGGCCAAGATGGAAGGGACCTTGGGAATCTTCGAGTCCAATGGTCTCATTTTACATATAGGCAAACTGAGGCCGAGCAAGGAGAAGTGAATTGCCCAAGGCCACACAGGTGAGCCAGGGATCAAACCCTTCCAAGAAGGCAAAAAGGCCTTGGATCCGTCTCATAGCATCAAGAATGTCAGAGCTGAACTTTAGAATGTAGGGTGCTAAAATTCTAGAAATCACTAGCCCAGCTTCCAGTTTCACAGATACTGAGTAAGTTAATTGGTTTAGTCAAACTGCAGGTGCTAGGAGACTTCAGGGAAAGGGAGAGATTCTTGCAGCCTGGATGATCGGAGAAGATTTCCTGTAGTAGGCAGGACCAAAGCTGCACCTGGAGGAATGAGATTGTCATTCCAGCTGGTGATCACAGGACTGGAGAAGGGTCCTAGGAAAACCTAAGTAGAGCTAAACCCATTAAAAAGGGTGATAAATGATGCAACGTGGGCTGTACTGGGTAGGCATTAATCAGAGGGAGGGTGCTGGCATCTTGGAAAGAGTCAGGAGACCTAGGTTTGAATCCTGACTCTGCCACCTATTAGCTGTAGGACATTTAACCAAATTTCCTACTTTTTCTAAGCCTCAGCTTCTCTTGAGAAAGTTGGACTAAATGGGTCTAAGGTCTCTTCCAATCAATCAGTAAGTCAATCAACAAAGATTTGCCTGGGAATACAAGTATTGTACAAAGAATGAAACAATCCCTACTCAAAACGAACTCATATTCTTCCAGCTCTGAAATCCTGTGATTACTATACTATCTAGCCCATGATTAGACTAGATATACAGGGGTGGGGAACCTGTGGCCTTCTAGGTCCTCTGGGGCAGCCTTTTGACTGAGTTCAAGTTTTACAGAACAAAATCTTTTATGAAGGGGATTTGTTCTGTGGAGTTTGGATTCAGTCAAAGGGCTGCACTTGAAGACCTAGAGGGCTACATGTGGCCTTCCAGGACCTTGGGGGCCTTGAGTCCAAGTTTGACAGAACAAATCCTTTTATAAAGGGGATTTGTTCTGTGAAGTCTGGATTCAGTCAAAGGGCCACACTTCAGGACCTACAGGGCCATATGTGACCCAAAGGCTGTAAGTTCCCACCCCTGGTGGAAGCTCACAGAGGGGTAGCTAGGTTTTCTCACTTGTGTTTAGCTTGGCTTTGACTTTGCTGTTGTTTTGTTTTTGTTTTTTTAATGGAGGTAGTGTGGAGGAGGGCTATTCATAAGGCCTGCTTCAGAAAAAGGTCCTGAGAACTGCCTTTGAGAACTTAGAAACCACTTTCCTTCCCCAAACCCTCTGCCCCACCATTCTGACCTGGACAGCCAATCCACCTCTACGGGCAGGCTGTCACACCTGGAGGCCTCTGTCGTCAGGTTGCCAGGCAACAGAAAGCCAATTACCTTATGCAAAGTGATAGGGAGGGAGAAAGGGGTGGGATGCTGAGCCAGGGAAATGTGAGGGTTTGAAAAGCCAAACCATTTGCCTGGGGATTTGTTTGTCAAGATGCTAACGGGAAAGAATTTCTTCCCTGCTTATTTTAAGCAAACAGAAATTTGGAATGAAGTAGGGAGATGGTAGCCATGGCCACATAATGAGGAGTCGGGACTCATTGGAAAAGACCTTGATGTTGGGAAAGATCGAAAGCAAATGGAGAAGGGGATGGCAGAGGATGAGACGGATAGGTAGTGTCATGGAAACAGTGAACATGAACTTGGACAGACTTTGGGAGATAGGGGAGGACGGAATTGCCTTGGGGTCCAGGGGGTCACAAAGGTCGGACGAGGCTAATTGACTAAACAACAACAAACAAAAGCCACCTTCAACATCAAAGCCAGACTATGGGATGGCAAACCTTGACAGGAGGCCTGTCAGAGTGGGTAGAGGGGAGGAAGGGGGTCCCAGCTCTCACCTCCTACCACCCCTGGCACTGTTGCAGTTTGAGAGGGATAAGAATGACGCTTATATACAAGAAAAGACAGTGAGAAGATCTGGACAGCATCATATCCATTTTATGTAGAATTGGAAGGGACCCCTTTGAGATTATCTAGGCCATCCACCTCTCCACAAAGCCTTGAAAGACAAGAGGAGCAGAGACCTTCATTGGAGTTCTAGGTCTCACCAGCTGAGAGTTGGGAGGGTGCTCAGCGTAACCCAAACCTCAACAAGACTCCCCCTCCACAACACAGAAGAGAAGACCTCCAGTGCTGGGTAAAGAGCTCGCTGCTAAAACAGCCCATCCCACTTTGGAGGAGCTCGAATCATTAAGGCAGTTTTCCTCACATTGATCCCAAATCTGTTCCTAC